CCGTGCTCAACACCTGTGTGAATAGCCCTGCAAAGGAGTCCTATCAGATTGTGGGAGCCCTGCTTGTGGTCGCCATCTTGGTGAACCTCGTCGCCTTGGCAGCTGCCATCGCGGGCTGTATAACGGCAAGGGCTTGGACCTTGCCTACTACCCTGGGGCTGACTTGGCTTGGTGGCATCCTCGCGCTGGCTGCAATTGCATACTACTTCACCAAGTTGGACACAACCTACTGTCCTCTGCTGGCTGTCATCGGAATGTCTTTCGCGCTGGCTATGGCAATCAGTACAAGTATTACAATGATACATGAACGAGGAGCTTAACAGAACTGTCATCGTGGATGTATGACTGGAGTGTTTGAATTCACAGACGTGTTGTACTGAACCTTTAAACTATCGGCAGGCTTTGCGTTTTTTGATTACCTTCTGACGAGATATGAGACTACCTTTATTTCCCTAAAAGACCCACGAGCATTCACTTACTCATAAACCCCTGGTTGTATGTAAGCTTGTCTATTTGTATGGCGAAGTATATTTGTGTGATATAGTTTATGCTGAAAAACGGATATATCATTTACAGAATAAATCCCTTTCCAAGGTCATTTGGAATGGTCATTTTATTGAGCCAAGTTTTACCATGAATGTTTAAAAGTCATAGCCAAAAGTCGCGTATTCTAAAAAATCCGACTAAGGGGTTTAATCTAGAGTAAGCTTTAGTAAGAAAGGTACTTGGATTCTGAACGCCAGGAAAGTAACTTTGATCATATAACGTCAGGTGACTAGTCAGAACACTGATTTTATGAGTTAGACATAAAGAGGTATCCAAAGCAATGCAAGGTCATCCGTAGTTTAATAAGAGTTGCTTATGCGGCTCGCAGTGTTCTTCGGTTAGTGTATGGTTTTTTATATTAAGCTGCTTCGGTAGACAGCGCTTTATGGATATTCCCCATTGGACATGGTTGACTCCTTATGGGCCAAAAATGGCCATTCCAGTCTTCCTCGTCTTGGCCACGGTGCGGCTTCTGGTTGGGCGCGAGAGTGAGCCCCAAGGGATAACGGAATGGCTGAGTTTCGTTGGCTCTTGGTGATGGATCATCAATGAGTGTCAGCATCTCCCGAACTAACCCGGCAAGACAACGAGCCTGGAGTTAAATGGTTGGTGTTAGACTACTGATCAATAGGTTG